ATCTATCTATCTATCTATCTATCTATCTATCTATCTATCTATCTATCTATCTATCTATCTATCTATCTATCTATCTATCTATCTATCTATCTATCTATCTATCTATCTATCTATCTATCTATCTATCTACAGTACCGGGATGATAAAAAATGAAAAACTATTACAATGGAAAATGGTGCACTACCTATACTGCACTGTAGTATTTTAGGCAAAAAGACTAATACCACATAGTACTGTATAGACAAGGAACAAAAATCGAATGGACTAGCACTGTTCTTGAGGAATACAGAAGGACGATGATGATGCTTGAGCCTTCTTCGAGTATCATCATACTAGACTTATTCTCCTTATTGTCAGCATCATGGCGACGACGATGGTGACAGGCATATTAGATCCACACCTTGATCTGTCTGATGGCCAGCCAAACCAGAATCCAATTCATCAAATTGGAGGCATTCTTCGTCATCATTGTTAATGAGCTCTTGACTAATCTTGCCATTTCCATCGCAGCCTCGATAGAGACGATTGGCGCATCCTTGGACTTGTTCTTGACATAGTTGCTCCACTTGAGAAACATCCTCGCTTCCTTCGTCCATCAAGTCAATGAGTTGGAATTCGCGACAATTGTATTGAAAGGATGACATGGCATTGTTGCCAGTAATGTGCCTGTGCATACGAAGCAAATCCCAATGGACGCTACCATCGTCTCGGCAGAATCGCAATGGAACCTGACCACAACCAGTCTTGGGTTGGATCGAATACCACAGTTTGGATTCTGCTGGTTCACTAGTAGTAGAAGTAGTAGAAGTAGTAGCAGTAGTAGCAGTGGCGCAGTGTGCTTGGCGGGAATACGAGTCTGGCATTCTTGTACCGTCATATTGGTACAAGGTTCCATCCTCCGTTTCGTAAAATTTCATTTGACAACCATGATGATGAAATTCTAATTCCTCGATTGAAAACCCATCTTCTAGAGTGGCAAAACACCATCTGCTCTTGAGACTGTAGCAACGCAAATCTTGGCTCCACCTTAGATTGGAATTGTACTGTTCGCAATGGTGGCGATCAATTTCCGTGGCATAGGGCATATACCCAAAATCGAGCTTTTGCTGTTTTCCATGTTTATGATTCAGGACGCAATACCTTGGATCGTCCGTGTCTTCAACTCCAAAAAAGAAATCATCCGTATCTGTACTACTGTTAATAGCTGGTGCAAGTTGTTGTTCTTGCTGAGGAGGAGCGTTCTTGAGTAATGTCCTCGGGGAACGTGAAGAATTCATCAAGAGGACCAGTACCACCATCATTGCAGAAACAATCAGACTGACGTTTCGGGTCATCAACGTGAGAGCCCTCTTTCGGTCGCTGCTGCGGGATCCATCAGTCGAATTGTTATTGCCCACGGGCGACTTCCAGATTGCATAGTACCAAGAAGAAGAAGAAGAAGGAAATTGAGCAGTATTATGGTGGTGTTGTTCCAAGAATGACATCATTGAGGAAGAAGAAGAGGAGGACGAGGATGATTCATGGTCGTCTGCCAGCAATTCATCTTGTAAGGATGACGATGATGGTGAAGATTCAAGCTCAAAGTATTGAATGTTCATTGGAAGGTTTGCGGTGTGTGTTGTGTGTGAACTGTGTACCGGTATTAGTATGAAGGCGCTATAGGACTGTATGATACGCCTGTTTCTATCGTGAATTCTGGAAACAACAGAACAAAATTCAAACTGAGGATGACACCCACCACATCATTGCATGAGAATTCTGGCTTGGCACTATAATACGCAGGGTTCCTTTTTTTTGGCCCGCCGGCGGAGAGAAAAGCAATAAGTTCTCGTTTCATTCCACGACGTCACAGACAGACAATGCCGGTAGGTAGAATTCGATAGTTTTGATTGCGGATGGAAATTCCAGTGAGGGTTCGGGATGGTAATCAAAGAGCCCTCAAGACCGCAGTCTTGGTACCTGGTACCAACCCGTCGGTCACCATTGGACAAAGGAGAAAAAAATGAGCCCTCCTCGAGAATTTCAACAGGAGTAGCAATGACGCCCCTTTTGTTGTGGCTACCTTCTTCTACTTTGTTGCTACGAAGCAAGACTATAAGGAGGATGCAGCCTCCTGATTTGAACAAACCACCGAGTGGTGCCTCAGACTAGTAGTAAGGCAGGAAATTGCACAAAAAAGTATAATAAGAAGGTAGGATCAAATGAGCCTCTCTACTCGATCATAGTTTCAACAGTATGTCTTTCGCTACCGGCTGTACTATGTCCACTTGGAAGCAAGGATGCTCGTTTTGAACAGCCAAATGCTTGGAGTAGGCGGAAAGTTCACTAAAGGACTGAATGATAGGAAAACTCGTAAATAATTTTTATTATTGTCTTATATCTATTGGAATGTATTTCGTGATGTACTTGGTCGGTTGTATAGGCTACACCGGCCGAATGTTGGAGTCTGCTTGGTGGTGGTCGGCGCAACTTCTGGCTTGATGCTCGTTTATTGGCTTGGACCAAGAACATTCTGTTGTTGATCGAGTAGTCGACGAAAGCATGGGTCATTCATCTCGCTAGTTGTATCGTAGATCAGTTCCAGAGCTTCGTCAAGGATAGCCACAAGGTCTCTACCACCACCACCACCAAACGGCATGATGGTTGTTGCAGACAATGCTAGTGGTGGTGGTGGTGGTGGTGGTGGAAACGACGACAAGAAATTGAGAAGCGATTCGTCGTCCATCCTCCTTGAAGCACTTGGGTTGCCGCGCAGTGACTGTTGTCGTTGTTGTGCAGGCAAGGAACAAGAGGAGGTTACGTCAGCGGTGGGCATTGTGTGTGGGTGTGGGTGGTGTTAGGACTTGTGTTCTTGTTGATATGTTCTTGTGTGTGTGTGTTTGCGTTTTGATTTTATGAGCCATGACGAGCTAAAAGTCATCTGCAGTTCAGAAGTTTGTACACTCGGGATCAAGCTTCCGTACCGACCGATTTGAGGGAGTGCTTTTTAAA